AAATGTTCGGTCAACGATGGTGGGGCCGCGGTTGCGAGGAGTCGCACGTGCGTCAGGAATTTGGAGGACTACAAATTATTGGTGGATTAATTGAGATTATGAATTTTTAATTGGCTAAAAGCCGAATGTTATCAATGTACTTAATTTGGTGGTGCTGTGGAATTTCTCCCAGGAATTGAAGTTTGATTGACTCAATGCACTTCAATCATTACAATACCTTCATTTGATATTCCAATAGTTTTATATGGTTTAATCTTTAGTTATTATATATGCAGCTAGTTAAACAAAATGAAACATTAATGAATTCAACTCGACTCATTAAAACTCGTACTCGACTTGTGTACGGTTATTATATGTACAAGCTGAGCTCAAACTTGTAAGTTCGACTCATATGTACAAGCTGAGCTCAAACTTGTAAGTTCAACTCGCTGAGGCTCGAAAAATAAAATTATTTTACACAATTTTCTAAAACTCAACTTGTTAAGGCACGAGTTTGTATCGTTAAAAATTATGCTTAATTTGTCAAAATATTGATAAACAAATCGAAATCATACTCATTTATCAGCTTGTTTATTCAAACTCAGTACGAAAATGGCTTGAATCCGAGCTTGAGGTCGATCTTGCCCTGTCTAATTTTCACCCCTCCATATAGTAAACTATGTTAGATTAAATCTCATGCAAAATTTCATGCACTTATAATGTGACTTCACACAATTTTTTATTTTTTATTTTTTCACATCTTTTAGAAGGGAAAAAGGAAATGGGAAAAATGTATAGTTTTCCAATAATGTCCACCAAAAGATGAACTTTTCCAATATCATCTACAAACTGTTTCCCTTAAATAACATGAATTTCTGATACAGTTTCCAAGGGGGAGAACAAAAATGTTTTCAACATCAAATGCTGCAATTTGTCACTTAAAATGAAGCTAAGAACTAGGTATAGAGCCCGTCCCATTCGAACCTTCTCTATTTTGCTTCTTTTTGTGTTTTCGTTTTTTCTGTTTTTCCTTGAGCCTCCCGAAATCCTTCACGCTCCTTTCCCATTGTTTTCTGCTTTTCTGATAAAGCACCATTGCGGCCCGAGCGTCTTCTATCTGAACAAAAAAAAGAAAAATTAAAATATTTTACATCAAAGCTCAATTCAATAGAGAGTATCATATGCTGGGTAGAGCCAACAAATGAGGTTTATTTAATTTTATTATTACACATGCTCATCAACTTAGTTAAAGGACTTAATCTCATCTAAAAGCTGAAGACATGAATAATAAAAATAAAAAGAAAAAGGAGAAGACAAAGAATAAATCGCTTTTTATGCATGCTTCCTGGAAAAACAAAATTATCCTTCACTTTATAAAAGTTCTTTCTGACCCATTTCCACCCTCCGGGTCTCGTTGAGTTACCTTTTCTTTTTAGTTGAAAATGATTAATCAACAAAACCCCCTATAAACCAATGCAAGATCGGTTTACAAAATTTTCATCAAATTAAGTTATAAGAGAAGCTCTAGTAATCCTCAAATAAATTAGAGAACTGTGGTTGTACATAGTACATAGTAACGGGAGGGAACAATGTTATTAGTTACCATGGGTAGAAAAAGTGAACATATGGAGAAGTACATATAACTCTAGACGAGATAAAAAGAGGGAGAGAACAAACAAACCGGGCAGTGCTCGCCATTTTGAATTTCGACATTCAGAAACTGAGCTGCAAGGTTCTTCAGGGAACGACTTCGTCCATCCCTGGTTCATCGAGAAAAGTACTTTAAAAAGTGTAAGTCTCATATTTATTAATACTATTATTATTTTTAGAATAATTACTATTTTATTGTTGTTCATTTGCTATTTAGATTATGCAATCAGCAAAAAAAAAATTATTACTTTAGAAAAGGGGCATATTCTGACGTGTCTCTAATATCTTTCTTCGGATGACTTAACAGCAATGCCTACAAGAAAATTGATGTATATGTGTTGGATAAATAATTAGATCAAATGAAGAGTTAAAATGAAAAAATTTTGGTCTTGTTATGCACTTTAAGATCGTTCCTCAATGCATGACCAACAAGTATCCTGCCGTGGATCATCTCAGCAACTGTCTTCTGAACAACATTGAAATTCTTAGCTGCAAGTGATAACAAAAATGGAAATAACTTCAAAAGTGTAGAACGGAAATGGAAGCGAACCAAAATATTTAAGGATGTATTAGGGTGCTGAAAAAAAATATTAGAATAAAAGGAAAATGAAGAAATTAAAAAATAAAATAAAAAAAAAGAAATGGGAAAAATGAAACTAAAAGAACAGAGAAAGGTTCACAAAGCTCTATCTATATATGTGCCTATGTGCATATTTTAATTTTATGAGGCGTCAAATGGCACAACCATTTATTCATTCTTTCTTCAGGTTTTTAGACAATAAAAAATGCATGAGTCTTTTTGGTAAACTCTCTTCCCAGAATACTATTTCGAACTGTAAAACAATTGGACAGATGTAATATAATCCATTTTTCTGACATTAAAAGCCAACATATTGGATGTTTATATTGGCAAATCCAAATTCCGCCTGAAATAGTTTAAAGTTGATTCTAAACAAAAGCAACAAGCGCCTACAAATAAGATGAATTCATCACTACCCATATTGTTGGATGAAATCAAATTAAACTAAGGAAGAATAACCAAAAACACAATTTGCTTTACATTTTGAAGCACTTGCAGCATTGGCAACAACACGAAGATAAGCAAACGGGGAAAAATGTTATAAATTGTTATCCACTTCCCTCAAATCATTGTAAAGCAAAAGCGATCTCTGGTAAGTAGTCCTTTAGAAACTCCATAACTAGAGAAATTATAGAGAAAAACCCATAACAATGATTTTTATAACTAAAAGAAGCCCGTAGCACCAAATTATGAGTATCCACATCAAGAATGACATCTAATTGAGTAGGTTTCTACCACTATACTTCTACAAATCATAACAATGCAGTTTAACCAATGAAACAACAATAAATAAAAAATTAGACTGCAGAATTGAAAGAAAGAACCAACCTTTTCTCAAATCACGCGGTCGAATTCCACTTATTTCTGTACGGAAATCAACAACATAATCAACCGGGCGAACATACTCATCATATAAGACATTTCCCCATTTGTTTACCTGCCATACAAGGTGGAAGTTCATTTCATAGAGAGAGAGAGAGAGAGAGAGAGAGAGAGAGAGAGAGAGAGAGAGAGAGAGAGAGAGAGAGAGAGAGAGACATCTCAAGGCAGCATGCATAGGTTTTTAACAACTTTTTGTTGCTTACCAAGAGCAAGAAAATGCATACATTTGGGGGTAAATACAACATGTTCACTTAAAGCAATAGGGTCAAGAGTAACGTGAAAGTGAGAAAAGAAGTTACCAGTGTAACTCTCCCAAGAGCACTCTTGTTCCCCGACGAGCTAACACCTACCATTTCACAATCCATAGCCACCTCATCTGTGAGACTGTTGGGGCAGATTCGCAGCACGAACATCAAAGGAGGCATAAAATACAGACAATATTTAAGGAAAAAACGGGACAGAAGGTAACGAAAGGGTGCCACACCGAACATTTTTGGGACATTTTATGATTACTGAAAGCCAGAGCCAGCCCACAATTATCAGTAACAGCCCACCATAAATGGCTTCAATTACTTGCAGGGCAACTAAAATATGAATTAATTCAAAACAAACATGAAGGACATAATACGACACAATCGTATTTGCTGAGTTTCAATGCACAATTCAGCAAGCTTATTTTGTAATGTGAGCTAAAAACCGTCTCATCTCTGTTCTTACAATAAAAAAGACACAACCTTTATATAGGGGACTAAAGAATCACCTGCAATCTGAAGAAGTAGGGATCAAAGGATTCGGCTTCGGAGCTTGAGAATCCTCTTCCGTCCGCTCTTTGCGTTTCCCTGAACTTACCCCAATACAGGATCAAGCAAAAGTTGCAAAGTCGTATGAATTAATCAAATTTGGGTAGAATTTCACGGAGCCCACAAACATAAAATTCATAACCGTGGAAACAGAGAAGACGAAGCCTTACCCAATATGCTTCTCTCGATGTCTTTATCGGGTTTGCTTGAGCCTTTAGAAAAGTGGTTCTTCCCGCCATTGATTTTTAGCTTCTGCAAAAAAGACTAACATCGATTACAGCAGGCTAAAACCCAAGAAAAAATATATCTGCATAGAGCTTAATCCATCATAAAAGATAGCGGTGCATTGAAATCACCTCCTGAAGCTGAGCCCAATTGGGGTTGAGATTTTTGCTAGGGTTTTTCAGTTTGCCAGCCATTGTTGAATTGATTTTGCTTCAGCGCTTTAATTTTTTTGAAGCAAAATCACACATCTAGCGTTTGTTAAAGTCGTTACTGAAAATGCCCTATTCTTCACTTAAATTGGTTTATATTATTTTTAGGTCAAAAAATGTTATTAATATTTTATATGTTCGTAGAAAAGTATTTACATTATTTTTATAGAGTCAATGAGTCGAGTTTTTGCTAGGGTTATCAAATACTCGAGTTATTAGTAATTTTATATGTTTGTAGAAATGTATTTACATTATCAAAAAAATGTTATTAATATTTGATAAGTTCGAGTCCATAAAACTCGAGTTTTATGGAGTTGAGCCGCTCGTTAAGTTAATGAGTCGATAAATGAACTTGATATCGATTGTTAACAAGCTTTAAAGAGTCATGATCAAGCCTTAATGAATCAAATTATGCTAAAAGTTTAGAAATATATATAAAAAACAAAACTTCTCAAGCTCCACGAGTCGAGCAACAACTCATTTCGTTTAACAACTCTAATAATCTAAATACAAACTAGTAAATATTTCGTGCAAAGCATGAGAAAGTAAGATTGAGGGATCCGATCCATTTTCGGATGATCAGTCTTGAGAACTTGTTTGTATATTTATTCATTACGTATTTTTGCCTCATTGGTTATTGTTGAAACTCAAGAAGAATAGTCAACATGTCTCTTGCTTTTGTTTTATGTCCATGCATGCAAAGTCTTTTCCTTTATTTTCTTATTTATAGGTTCTTTTTCCTTTTATACCTTTATAGGTTTTCTAGCCACCAATATAAATACATGTGTATTGTTCTCAAGGGTTGTAATGAACATGAGTATTGAATGTCAATTCCTAGCCGCCATGTACGGCACTTATGTTCTTC